TACTCTGATTTGGTTAAGAATAAGGAAATTAGGTCACTGTATCACTTCTTTTCCCGAGAGTGACAAGGGAAGTGGAGGAGCTTGTGTCTGAAAACCCTGAGAAGCTAGTTACAGTGGTTCTCAACCTTCCTAATGCCGCCACCCTTTAATACAGTTCCTCATGTTGTGACCCAACCATAAAATTATTTTCGTTGCTACTTCATAACTGTAATTTTGCTATTGTTATGAATCGTAATGTAAATATCTGATATGCAGGATGTATTTTCATTGTTACAAATTGAACATAATGAAAGCATAGTGATTAATCACAAAAACAATATGTAATCATATATGTGTTTTCCGATGGTCTTAGGCAACCCCTGTGAAAGGGTCGTTCGACCCCCAAAGGGGTCACAACCCACAGGTTGAGAACTGCAGGGCTAGAAGAAGTTAAAAATGAAACACTTCTGTTATACTGATGTCTTCTTTCCTCTCCTATCATTGTAGAAAACAGTTAACACCATTAAGACATGAAACTCCCCTCCGCTAAAAACTCACCTTAGACTAAGACTGGGTGTATAAGGAAAATGTTTTCTCTAGAGAAAAGTTTTCCTGCAAGAAAAGGAAGACCTTCTAGAACATCACAAGTTGGAGCCAAGCCTCTGGTCTGTAACAGCTACTCATTAAGATTCTGCCACATGTGAATTATTCAGAATCATTATAAAATGCTGCTTTCATCTGGGAAAAAAGTGTACCTCCCGGAGACACTACATTTAGTTGTCCTGGAGATAAAGTAGAGTGGTCTGTGCGCCCGTAATCGTGTCAACAGCCTGGCTTGCTCTCTAGAAACTCCTGGGAGGCACAGCTGGGATGCAGGCACCCAAGGCAGAAACCGGGACAGCGTGTGACCGGCCTGCTTATTGCCAGAAGCATTAACATTCCACCCAGCCGCCCTGCATTGTTGGAGCAGGGCCCTTTGAAATAATGGGTTTTAGATTTGCGGCTTGTTTATTATTAAAGATGAATTAATTACACTTAAAAAAAAGCATTTACTGTTTTTTCTAGCACTAATACAGCTAATATGCTATATCATTTAAGTCTCTCTCTAAATCTTTTCAACTTTAATCACAGAAATCTCTCTAAAACCAACCTTCTAATGCCCTCCCCTGCAACGACAATCTGTCCGATGGGTTTTATGGGAAGGCATGAGGGATTTTATGGGAAAACAGAACACTGCTACTGGTTACTTTTCAGAAGGTTGGTGATGACATTCACTTGTGATGAGCAATATGACTCATGACCAGATTTCCTAATAAGAATGAGCAGTGATGCTAATGAATGGTAATTCAATGAGCCAGGCCGGCCTTTTAAACATCCCAGGCCGAGGTAAGGAGGTCCAGCACCTTTGTTGTGTTTTCTTCTCACTGTCATTTTCCGATCGTTTTGGCAACCACTCTCAAGTATCAAGATGCAAGGCAGGGCTTGGCGTCCATGAAAGGCTAGAGATGTTACTCTCTGCTCTACGGGCACTTCCTCGAAGACCTCCCTGATCTCCCACTAGGTCAGACCCCCCAACTTTCTCGGGAACACCAGGCAACTCTCCCCCATGGCACTCATCACAGGCAAACCGAACAGGCAGCGTGTGGCCCTTCAACGACTGCCTCCCCCACGGCACCACCAGCTCCATGAGCCCAGGGGACCATGTTTTTATTCGCCAGGACACCCCCAGGCACACAGTCTACCCGGCAGGAACTTAGATGTTTGTTGAATGGGTGAGTATGAATTCACACACACACAAAATCAGTTTGCCAAATTAGGGATTAGAAGAAGCCCCTGTTACAGTTTGGACTTCCTTATTTATACATGTTGGAGAGAAAATAAATAAAATCTCCTTCTTGATACGGGAGAGAAAAAGATTTATTCTGCACTGATAAGCCAAACAGTAACAAGGTCCTAAAACCAGGTCTAGGAGTAGCTCTTCAGACCCCTCGCCCAACACAGCCATACCCAGCTTAGCTTATACAGCCCCAGCAGTTGATGCTAAGCCTTCTAAATGGACACTCTTCACTTCACAAGGCCCGACAGCATTTTCTTCTGTGTGTGAAGATAATGGCACTGACCTGTGAGACTGAAGCTGTTTTTCTAGAACTGACTCATCCATTCTCTCTCACCTGCTGCTTCGTGGTGATAAATGACAAGCACTGAAAGGCAGCGGCTGAGGTTACAGATGAGGCTAGAGCTTGCTGGGTTGAATGAGACTAAACCAGCTGCCACCATAATCACACCCTCCATTTTGGCATCATTGTTATTTTGCCCTTTCCAGTTCTAGTCACCGAACATTGCCAGCGTGACAATACCATAACTGCTTGCCAAAATTCAGGTATTATTTTAAAAACTTACAGGAGGCAAAAATTTAAAAATCAAATGAGAATTTAAAAAATAAATGTAGGCAGCCAGTGTGGCTCAGTGGTTCAATGGCAACCTATGTACCAGCAGGTCCCTGGTTCGATTCCCGGTCAGGGCATATGCCCCAGCTGTGGGCTCGATCCCCAGCAGGGGGCATGCAAGAGGCAGCCGATCGATGTTGCTGTTCTCTCTCATTGACATGGATTGAATTATTCGTCCAGAAAAACCAATGGTCACACCTGACGTCAGTGCAGTGGTGCAGATGTGCACGCCCTCAGGAAAGGGGAGCAGATACTGGTGCATGAATCCACCCGCGGCAGGTTCCCCAACAGCATCCACCTCAGAGGGTTAGAGTGAGGACTAAGTGAGTCAATAAATGAGTGACTTAAGGAGCATAAAGCAATGTCTGGCATACAAACAGTGCTGTACACGTGTGTATTATTTTTATTATTAATAAGGAGCATTTGGTGCTTAAAATGAGCAGCTAGATGATTTTCATACAACATCTTAAATAATTTTAAGGGAAACCTGTAAAGATACTGTTGTTATACCCATTTTACAGGGAGAACCAAGGCCAATCAAATGTGCATGGAAGGGACATGTGACACTACTTGTCAGAAGGGTTGCAAACCAATTGTGCTTCCTACCTCTAGGACTGTAGTGTTTCCAGAGATAGAGCCCCCGTTAGCTTGTGTTCCTAAGTGACCCCTGGCAGACATACATTGCGAGCTAGAAATAAGCCATTGTTTTAAGGCACTGCAATCCCCAGATCTGTTACACAGCACAACCTAGCCTATCCCAACTGAGGAGAAGCACAGAGACAAAAGAAAATGTTCCCAAGGCCACACAGCCAGAAGCATCTGGCTCCAGAGTCTGTGCCCTTGACCGCCAGTTTAATAATTGATAGTAATGCCAATATAAAGAATAGTTTATTGCTAATGCATTCTTGTAAATGGGGACCTATTTCTAGACATTAGCATAAATAGCTGAATGAGCTGGCTCAGGACAAAACCTAGCCTTTCTCCGGCTCCCACTGCAACACAGTCAGCAGCTACCAGAAACACCACTGGAGTTTTCCATGGACACATGGAGGACACTGGCCATGTCCCTTCCTTCTATAATCCCAGAGCAGTCCCCGGGGGGACGGGACACACATGATCACTATGGGCTGCCAGAGAGCCTGGTTTAATCACCCTCCCCACATACACAGTATCTCATGAAATGATTTAAAATATCTCTGGCCATTCAGTTAAAGGTAACTGTTCTCGCTGTCATTCGGTCTTTCAGAGAGCGATGCCTCTCCTTATTCTTGCTTTTCCCATTAGCCCATCACCTTGTTTTCCCTTCTTCTTGTGTCTTTCAACAATGAGCAGAGACCTCAAATGTGTTTCCAAGCTCTATTAGGAAGCACAGCACCACAGTGACATCCGGTAATTTCCCGGCTGTGGTGAGTCCCCAGAGTTGTGAGCGCCTGAAATCTGGGGACTGAATGAGAGAATCTGCCTGGTTTAGAACACAAGTGCCCAGAGGACAAGTCAGATGCTTCAGCCTCAGCTCTTTCCAAGGAAAACCAAAGTGTTGTCAAGATAAAGCAGAAGGAGCAAAGGTTTAGCAAAAAGTTAGGTGGGAAAGTATTAGACATATCAACTGGACATAAATCTATAAAAGAGACCCAGTTTTTTAGGGCACACACTGAAATGCATTAAATTATAAACTTTCTTCAATATTATTTCCATATATCTCAGTGACCAGCAGATTAATAAGCCACATAAATAAATATCTGCGGAACAGAGAGCGTTTGCATCAGGTTCACACTGCCATGTTGCACTCCAGTGCTGTCATGAGCTGCTCTTTATATTAATGCCATAGCTCCTCCCTGCCTGTTAGGCAAATGACACCTATTCCCCCCACCCCCACCCCTTGCCCCCAGAGTGTCAATCCATGAGGTCAGGGTCTGTATCCCTTTTGTTCTCCATGGATCTTCTATGCCTAGCACAGAGCCCATTATACAGTAGGGCTTATCTGTGAGATGAATTTTTAATAAACATTTGTGATACATCTTACAGATCCCCTAGCACTTTCATATAAATGTGTGCATCTCCCTGCACAGCAGGTTAGAGACACAGGCTCTGGAGCAGACCACCTGGGCTCAGACTCCAGCTCCACCATGTACCAGCTGAGTGATCTTGGGCAAGTTTTCAATGCCTCAGTTTTCTTACCTGTGAAATGGGAATAATGACAGTATCGGGTTGTTGTATTAAAATGCTAATTCATATGAATCTTATAAAACAGCACCTGACACTGTATGTGTAAATGTCAGCAATGATTAATTTTGATTGTGGCTGTTTTTCTCCTATCACAATGTCAAAAACAAATTATTCCTGTATCATCTTTACTTAAAACCCTGAAAGTAATTTTCAGTAGAGCAGATGATAATCTCAGGAAAATGACTTCCAAAGCTATTTGCAAAAATAAATGTATTTACAAAGTCTGTTCTTAAAATAAACATGACCCTAAGTGGCTCCAGCTATTCTAAAGCTAAGGCTCTTCCAGTCACTTGAATTGGGTCCTTCTCCTGCAACATTTGGCCTTTTCTTTCTTTTCTTTTTTTGATAAAAAATACGGAATGCTTCACGAATTTGTGTGCCATCCTTGCGCGAGGGCCATGCTAATCTTCTCTGTGCCGTTCCAAGTTTAGTAATGTGCTGCCGAAGCGACCACTGGACTTATTCTTTTCACAAACAAGAAACAAGAACAAACGTACTGACTTGAACAGAAGTGGTATGTGAGTAAACACACACACACACACACACACACACACACCAGGCAATAGAATTAGGTTGTGCTGTCCTCGCTGCCCTATCAGGGCAGAGGCATGTCAATCCCAGCAGGCATCTCCCCAACACTTAGAGCATGACCTGGTGATTAGGCCACATGTTACTAAAAATGCAAATCACCGTATTTAACCACCGGTGTTTCTCTACCCGCTGGAGAGATGGGGAGAGAAACCAAGAAAAGGGGCACCTGGGCATTCGCTTACCTTCAATACCGTAATGTTCCAAGCGAAGCTCTCAGTGGCCTTGTTGAGTTTTCTTCCTTTCAAGCCTTCTTTGGCCCCCAGATTATGAAGTTCCTCATGGAACTCCATCCCTTTGAAAAGAGAACATGTAAGAATTCTTAGTATATATTGAAGAAAAAGAGGCATTTTATGAAAATATTATCAGTAAAAATATAATTTCCCATTCCTGTCCTTCTCTTATAATCTCTAAATCCCTAAATTAAACACTCCTTCCCAATCTGTTCATCCCCATCAAATGGCTATTCTTAGGGGGAAACCAACAATAATCAATGTATTAGACTAAATTACTTTCTAAAGAGCCAGGAGCCATAGACCTGAGAAGGTGAGAAGCAAGTTCTTCCAACAGGGTACATCCATCTTATTTGTCCTCTGCCTGGCTTTCATATGAAATGGTGTAATGTGTGAATGGCAACCATATGTGATGGGTGCAAATACCTCTCTTTTCCTATGGACCCTGTGGCTTGACAGTAGGCCCTGGAGCCCACATCTGTAACAATGGTAATTAATAAATGTTGAGTGAAAAGTAAAAAGATTTTTTAAAGGTAACATTCCTGGAAACACCCAAATGTTTCAGATTTGGGAATGACCAGAAAGTGACTTTTAGCTCAACCATTCTCCCATGCTGAATACTATGAAAAACAGCACCGCGATCAACTGTTCCTTCAGCCTCGGAGCTTCAAGGATGGGGATCATCCTTTCTCTGGGCAGCTCATTCCACCTTTGAATAGCTATGACCGATACCCAGGCAAAGTCTCTCTTCCTTGGAATTTCGATTCATTCCTTGGTGCTACCTAGACCTAGACCAACAAGGTCTGCTCTCATTGCCTCAGAGAAGCCCATTAAATATCTTAAGGAAGATATTAAAGTCCACTCGAGTCTTCTCTTCTCCAGATTAGACATTCTGACATGTTTGAGCGTACTAATAAGGTCTTTTGTTGAAGGATGACCTCCAGGCAGGGCCACTGCGGTACCTAACTTCCCAGAGTGAAGCTTGCAGAGACCTGCGACCGGGAACATCTATCTACGTGGGCTGGAAGCAGCCCACTCGAGGGAGGGGTGACCCACCACCCTACTTGCTCCAGCTGCTCTGCCTTGACTAATGCAGCTAACACCACAGTAACTTTCCTGGTGCTAACATCTCAAACAGCAGGTGGTAAGAGCATGACTGTGAAGCCGGGGCTAACATCAGCTCCACCACTTACCAGGTATGTGAGCACGAGTGAGTCTCTGAAACTCCATGAGTCAATTTCCTTATCGGTAAAATGGTGATAACATGAAGGCTTACCTCAAGTGATTGTGGTGAAGATTAAATGAGTCACCACATATAAAGCTCTCAAAGTAGTGCCTGGCACTAGGAGTATTATATAACAAGTATTTGGTAATATTATTTTTGTGCTTCCAGTCAACTGAAACATATAAGCCTGCTGGTCAGTCAGTGTAGAGCACCATTTTTATTTTTAATTTTTTTAAATTTATTTTTATTGCTGAGAGTATTACAGATGTACCCCACTTACTCCCCTTTGCTCCCTGCCACCTGGCTCCCACCCCACCCCAGGCCTTCACTCGCACTGTTGTCTGTGTCCATGGGCTATGCTCATATGCATATGGGTGCAAAGCTCAGCTCTACCACATTTTAATATGGAATCTTGGGTAATTCACTCAACATCTTGGGTAATTCACTCAACCTCTCAGAATCTCAGATGCCTTATGTGTAGTTTGGATATAATGATGATTACCTTGCAGAGTTGTTGTAGTGATTAGTATATCATATGCATATATATCAAGCAATTGTCATTATTGCCATCATCCTCATCATAATCATTATTGTATGTGTGGACCAAGGGGACATGATCCAAGAAAAATGCAAGTACAGGCTTTGGGTAAAGAGGCACACCAATAGAGGCAGGCCCTCACAGATATGGGGCCCATCCCGTCCTTAAAGAAAGAACATTCTAGAATGAGGACAAGTAAATTAGGTAAAAGCCCGGAAGATTAAAAGGATCATGTTTCCAATTGTAAAATGAAGTGGTTCTTACGAGGCAGTGTGGACCCATAGCTTCCTATCAGTAGAAAAAGGTTTTGATAGGCTCCAAACCCTCAAAAGCAGATTCAGAAACCCCCTCCTCTCCAGAAATCTTCAGACATCACCCCCCTTATATACACTGTACTAAACGAAGACTTAAGTGTAACTCAGAGGATAAACTGGAGAGTGAGGGGTGAGAGATAATATAGGTAAACAATTAATTGTAATTTAAGATAGAAAGAATTAAAGTCAGAAAATATTTGACTTTTAGAAGTAGAAACACAAACTTAAAAAAAAAATCTGCCAAGATGATCATGATGATTTCTAAACAGAATAGAGGCAGGAGGGTGAGAGTGGGCGGAGATTACCTGCTTTCTGGCACTGCACAATCTTTTCCTGGACTGTGTCAGCCATTTCTATGAGAAACCGGCTCTCCTGAATCATCTGTCACAAAACAAACATCAGAAAGGTGGTTGTCAGAGATCCTTACACTGGCTCATTGGAAAGAGTGCGCACAGAGACCTACATGATATGGCCAGCAATGGGGCACCCTGGCCTTAACCCCGAGAAATGGGAGAGGGAAGGATGACCTCTGCTCCAACTCCCACCCACTTAACACCACAGCTAGAGTCACCTACCGTGATTGCTCTAGTTATGCAACCTGCCTCTCCCACAATGGATGTCAAACAAGTAACTGCTGAATTCATGCACATTCTTTAAGCCTCAGATGGCATCCATGAACACCTCTTATTCCACTCCCTCATCCCAAAGGTTACGACATCAAGGCAAGTGTCATTGAAACAACAGCAATGGGAATCAGAACAGGGAATCACTTAGTGATGAGCTCAAGGACTCATCACTATAAATGAAGTTGTCAGCTTGGAGTTGGCCGAGGTCTGGCTGTCCCTCGAGAAGGGCTCCGGCTCCATTGGCAATAATGAGAAGTGGGTCAGGTCCCGGAGCCAGCAGCTCAACAGAGCTTGAGGTACCAACACTGAAATGGTTGTCCCTGCCCTCCATATTTGGGTAGAAAGCAAATATGTCTAAGAGGTAAATAATATACTGAGTGGAGTAGGGGAAATAAGATGACTGTTGGAGAGATAAAGAAAAGAAAAATCTGTATGTGAAGATGGGGAAAGATGATAGTAGGTAAAAATTTGACCAGAAAGACAAGGGACTGGGGCCCTTTTGAAGAAATGATTAAAGAAAGTCAACCAATAGGCAAACTAAGAGTTCCTGAATTTCCAGCCACTCTTCTATTCTCAATAAATGTTGTCCCATTTCATCAGACTATTCCATGTTTATCTGTCTGGCTCAATATTCTGAAGGGAGTTAGTTCAAGGTAGGATTCAAAGTGGAGATGAAAAGTCTTGAGTAAAACATTTTTTTATGTCAAATGCTGTAGAATCGCTTCCAAATATCAAGTGGTTTATGATCACAAATTTTCAAATGCAAAAGAAATATTCATTTCTCTTGATTTTGCTCTAAGTACAGAATATGCAATAGCATTCTCTGATTTAAAACAAAACAAAACACTATCGATTTGTTGACCAGTTTTCTTTGCAGGATTTTACTAAGTGTCTTCTCAGTGTTGAGAATAAAAAGAATACACTTCCTGCATCCCAAAACTCTTTGTAACAACCTAAGAACAAGTGTCCTCTTCTTTCAGCCCCACCTCTGCCCGGCTTCCCTCAGGAACCCATTCCTAACGACTCCTTTTTTACCTACAGACTCTGCCTCTCCCCTGGCCTATTCCCTTCTCTCCTGGTCAAATCCTAGTGGGCCTCAAAGCTCACTTCAATGCCCCTCTCCCATTGCTGTCCTGATTCTCCCTTCCCTCCCTCTTTTACCTCCAAATTCCCAGTACATTCTATTTTCTTTAGTCTGCTCACAATATTTTTCTATCTTAAATTACAATTAATTGTTTACCTATATTACCTCCCACCCTCCACTTCTCCAGTAAACTGTAATTCCAGTAGAGCAGGGAACTTATCTTATTCATCTTTATATACCCAGATTCACCTATGCGTTTATATAATTACCTTTTTTCTATTTTACTTTGTAATACTTATTTCTTCTACACATCTATTACCCACACATGCATGCACAATGAAATATTTTATTTATCACTTCTCAAATCCATAATTATATTTTTTGAGCTCTAATCTCTTTTTTTGTGTCTAGTCTTTTTTTCCAGGCTCCTCCATTTTTCTATAACCTTACATGCTCTCCATTTCCATTCAGGTTAAGTACTGAAAAATAAGTATAAAGCTTTCAACAGAGTCATCCCTATAGAAAATATAACACTCAATATCAAAAAACTTTACTACTTATTTGAGGTAAAATGAAGTCAGGACCAAAACATACAACAAATTCTATGATTCCAGTTCTCTTCAAAATCCCCAAGTAAGTACTTGTTAACCCCACATTGTAAGAAGTTTGTTTTTTTTCCCCATGTCTAACAGATCATTTCATAAAGACACAGTCAGTGGGATTTACCGTCAACACAAAAGAGCATCTCTGTGACATTCTCTAAGGAAAACCTGAAATCCGCCAGCAAAAGTCACACCTTTCATTCTAAAATACCTCACCACTGATACTGTCAGCATTTAACATT